CTTACAGCACGTGGTATTCCCTAGCGATCACCCATCAAGGTACTGACCAGACTCGACGTTGCTTAACTTTGGTGATCGTACTGGAACCAATGTTTCAACGTGATATAGTCATAAGCCTTTGGAGGCTTATTAAGGTGATTCATCGTGGTATAATTATTTAGCAGGTACTTACCATGGAATTAGTCAATTAGATCCTTACTAAATGCCCAATGTTTTCACATTTTGCCAATTCAAAGCTAAGCTTACTAAATGACTACTATTAAATAATGACTCACATTCTCATTGGGCGCCCCTTGTTTGTGGCCTTATGCCAACTCTTAGTAAACTATTGCATTCTCCTCTCGTTATTTGCCACCCACTTTTTTCCACCGACCGATAAAAATAATTAATCAGGATAATTTTATTAATGCATTCTCAGAAACGTAAACTTCACGGTGATTAAACTCATTAACTTGAAGCTTTTAACTTAATTATTGACTTCAATTAACTTGCATCTTTCATACCAGCTTTTCGCCAGGTTGAATTTAAACAATTAGTATTTATTGGCTAATATACTTCGTAAATTATTGCGTTTAGTAAAGAGTAATTTTTATTTGTGGAAAGCAAGAAATGTCAAGAAATTAAAAAATTCTAGAAATTTCTAGAAATTAGATATCTAGAAATTTATAGAATTATCGATTTCAATTTCCATACCAGTATTTTGTTATGCTGAATTTAAACATTGTATATTTATTTATTGGCTAATACTTCGTAAATTGTTGCGTTTGGTAAAGAGTCATTTTTATTTGTAAAAAGCCGGAAATTTCCGGAAATTAAAAAGTTCTATAATTTCTAGAAATTAAAGGTCTAGAAATTTATGATTTTTTTTAATTTCTAGAATTTTTTAAATTTCTAGAATATTATTTTAAATTTTAGAATTTTTTACAATTACTAGAAATGTTTTTTAATGTCTAGGAAAAATTTTAATTCCTAGAAATTTCTAGAAATTTTGTTTCTAGAAATTTATGACTTTTTTAGTTCAGCAATTCTAGTAATTAAAAAAAAGGCCGAAAATTCTAGAAATTAAAATGTCTACAAATTTCTAGAAATTTAAATTTATAAAAATTTAAAATTTATAGAAATTTAAAATTACTTGCAAGGAGATATGGATCTACACTTTTTGTTCTATCGTGTCCCTTCAGGACGTTGTCGATCATGATTCTCCACAATTTCCTGTCTTTTGTAGCTTTTGATAGATTTTCTCTTTTTTTTCTTATCTCTCCTAAACTTTGTTCCATCATCCATTTACTCAAGATCGCTAGGTGGGTTATGCATTGTTTTCGTTTGTCCCTCTTGCTTTCAATCTGTCCTGTGAGTATCAGATTTTCCAAGCACTCTTTCCGCATGATGTATCCTAGAAATTTCAACTCTGCTTAGCATTTGGAAGGCATCTTTCGTTATCCCAAATGCGCCTTCGGATTTCAGTGACATACTTTCCGCCCTCTGTTAGAACACTTCCCAGATATTTAAATTTTTGTATTTGATTTTGGCAGCTCCAATCTAGGATACTTATTTACTAATATCAAATCCGTTTTTTATCTGACCCAGAATAAGCGATCCGTGTTAAATTATTTGTATCTGTTTTGTTGTCTTGGACATATTCTAGTTCATGTATTTATTCACCAGTTATATCGCTGAAGACTGAACTACACCAAATCTCCTCTGATCTCCAGAACGTTTATTATTATTATTATTATTATTATTATTATTATTATTATTATTATCTTCATTTTTATTTTCTTTGATTTCTGGCGTTAACACATTTCTTTCCGGGTCCCGCCCAGGGACCTAAGGTTAGAAAATGCATCATGACACTTTCCACTGACAAAAAAAAAAAAATAAATAAATAAACAATTACATAGATAAAGCCCTTCGTAAAATGTGGGCTGTACTTGTCAGAACCATTTTTTATCTCTTTGAGGCATGGACTTCCAGGAATCCCTTCAATTAGTTTACTGAAATCTTTTCCAACCAATCCTAGGGCTCCAATTACAACAGGGATTGTTGATGTTCCCATATGCCACATTTTTAAAATTTCTATTTCAAGGTCTTTGTATTTTGACAGCTGTTTTGAATATATTTAAAGATACATTGCAGTCAGCAGGGAATGACATATCAATAAGGAGGCACTTTTTTTGTTTGTGGTCTTTTATAACAATTATCATTATTATTATTATTATTATTTGTGTTTTATGTTTCCTGCTTTGTAAATTGTAGAGCCGGGTCCAAAATATGTTCCTTAGACCCTATAGGAGAATTGTCATTTAATTGACAGCACTTTTCTTAGTATATAGGATGTTCCTAGTAGGGTGATCTTCTGGGCAACTTGTATGTTGATGTTACCTGGGATACTGTCAGTAAAAATTTCATTTCCTTTTCTCACGAGGTCCAGTGCTCCGATTACTATTGGTACAGTCTCAGTCTTCATTCCTCACGTCCTGTTAATCTCGATCTCCGGGTCCTGCTTAGAAAACGCATGGGTAAAATAGAACAGTGGTATAAAACGATCATCCTTATCACACGATTAATTCAAACATCTTTCTTCTTCTTCTTCTTCTTCTTCTTCTTATTATTATTATTATTATTATTATTATTATTATTTGTGTATGTTATGTTCCCCGATTTGTAATCTATAGAGCCGGGTCCAAATTATGTTCCTTAGTCCCTAAAGGATAATTGTCATTTAATGGCATAATGTTAATCTCGATCTCCAGGTCCTTGTATTTGCACAATTTCTCCATAATTTTCATACAGGTGTTTCTATCAGATTATTATTATCATTATTATTATTATCATTATTATTATTATTACTTTTGTGGATTCCCGGGTTGAAATCCGCTACCAATAAATAATAAACGCCAAGAATGAATATAGGAAAATAAAGTATTAACGTAACAATATAAACTGGTAATGCAGGTTAGTAGTTCCAGGAATGCGGGTTAGTAGCAAAAATATCTATACAGTCTTTGGTATTGAAGTATCGCTGTATGAATTCTTACTGAGTCTACGTACTTGCTCACTGTGACTCTTGCTCGCTACGTTCGTTCTGTCTGTCTGTCACCTTCACCCTCTGTTGCTCTCGTCACTTCTGGTCACCTACAACCTTTCACTCCCCTTCTGTTTCCTCTCGGGTCTTCGCATAGCAGTAGTATATGTATATACAGGGTGAGTCCATTTGTGTAAAAAGGGGAGGACTCCTCAGCAATTATTATTATTATTATTATTATTATTATTATTATTATTATTATTATTATCATTATTATTATTATCCGCCCTGGATAAGATGATAAACTACATCTGCGGCCTGTGTAAGACGATAAACTACATCCAAATGCAAGGCGTATGATCAGGAGGCTTTGAGGTGCGTGGAACCAGCTCTTAATTGCTGACCCAGGGTGGTAGCACCTGTTAGGGTCCCAGCTATGGGCTAATATTTAACCCCCAAACTGGAGTAAAAATACTGTAAAAATATAAATATAGGTTTTTATACCAGCAATATGTTTTTGTAAAAAAATTAACAGCAATACATTTTTGAAGAAATTATTACCAGCAATACATTTTTGAAAAAATATAAACAGTAATACATTTTTTGGAAAAAAATATTACCTGCAATAAAAATCTTGTCGGCATTAAATAACCCATTGAGGTTGATATACCGTAAAACAAACCAAAACATTATTATTATTATCATTATTATTATTATCATTGTTGTTGTTGTTAATGTTGTTGTTATGAGTTCATGTATTTCCTCTTTTGCACCAGATGTGGTTAACGTTAACCTTTTAATATGACCAGCAGATTTCTTATTCTCTTTGCAGACACGAGTAACGATGTGCTTTCTACAGTCTAAGTTCTACCTCAGATATCGAATTACTTTTCACCTTGTATCTCGAAACGTCACAACTCTCTCTCGCTACTCTATCGCTATTTCCATGGCAAATGTTCAGACGAGCGACATTCCTTCTCTGCACCAGTTCTGACCTTCACAACTAAGAACCTCAATACTACGTACGTTGTGACGAATCACCCTCATCTCCCTTCGTATTCCATTAGTAAGGAGGAAGTTCCATACAGACCGTTACTTAGCAGAGCAGACTTCTCAGACGATTCTTCCCCGATTACTACAATCTATTCAAATCTATGATCAACTATTAGCTTTCCTATATATCTGTAGTGAAAGAGGCAATCACCTACCTCGAAAAAGAGTTCGTGTTTTGTGTGCGATCTGCCGAAGAAGAGTTACCAAAAAGTAGTGAACAAAAATCTTTTTTCTTTTTTTTTTTAAGCGTTTCACCCCAAGCAAGGCGGGAAGCCACTAGGACGCAAGGGGTTACAAAAGATTTGGAGCAAGATCAGATAGGAGTGATAGAGGAAAGGATGAGGAGAAGGATAGTGGATAGATCAAGGCAACTGGAGATGTCGATTGACATTACATTTGAATAGTTGGAGATTATAGCTCCCAGGGAAACTGGAATAGGGAAGGGAGTCCCACAGGCGAGAGGTGCGAGACATGAAGCTATTGGAGTAGAAGAGACGGCTACATTTAACAGTTTCAACAGTGAAAGAGTGAGAGCGGGATGCCAGTCTCGTAGGCCGTTTATCTACTTTAAGGACCAGAATCTATGCTAATGTTCTTTCCTTCCCTGAATGGCGTGACCAATCAGAAAGATCTCTTAGTGAACAAAAGCCGTTTGTTTTTCGCTTATGTGACAGATTTGGATTTTCTGAGCTTGGTGGACGAACACGCGTTTTTGCTGGTGAGAAGTGAAGGTTGGATGTGTGACCCCATTTTGTCGTTTCTACGTTGCCTGTTGGACTGTTACGACGGACTATCGTTTGAACTTTGATTTGGCTACAAGTGTTGCGGTCGAGAGACAGAAGAAATGTATTGCAGATGTTTATTGCTACTATAAGTTGACAGTTTTTCTTTTCTTTTCAACTACAGTTTTTCTTTCCCTTTCCTTCAGTTTCAATTAACCCCCTCCACTCCTTGGTCAAGGAGTTTGTTCGCAGGATAGCAGAGTTCAGGTTTCAGTAAATTATTTTATTACCTTCATCCTGTCCCCAAAAACTA